GGTGAGTGACGCAATGGCCGCTCAAGCTTCGATTAGTACCCCTGCTCGGCCTTACTGTCCGAAGCTACCAAGACGCAGTCTAAGAAGAGGAAGAGAAAACACAAGATGAAGAACAAGAAAAACGCACAAGTGTAGTACATGTTTGAAATTGAACTGGTGTAGTGTCTTGAGCGAGGCTCTTGAAGGAAACAGAAACAGGGGGCATCAAACTTAAACTAAAACAAATCAATATAATTTTGCAGCCCCAGCAAGAAAAAAGTTATCTTTCTTTAAAAAGATAGTGACCGGTGATTTGTCTCCAGCGACTGCAATCTGGCGCGAACACAGCGCTTTGTCCAGAGCTGCTGCAGAAATACCGAAAATACCGAGGAAACACAGTCAATTGCCGTTTTTCCACGCTGTCGAACGCCTCCTCCATTGCTACTAAGGCCCACACCCGCCGAATGATTGGTTCTTTATGGGAGTTGGCTCATTTCAAAGCATTTGGAAGGTAGGCTGTATAGCCCACAGCGCCAAACTGCCTCCACACGCAAACGCTGCGGCTGGTGAACAAAACAGCTGTCCCAGATAGGGTCCACAACTTGGGGCAGAAAGATTCCATCAACGTGTTTTGCAAAGTATGTCGGAAACTGCTACTTAGCAGTGAGGAGGAGCGCCTCAGAGCTGAAGGTCGCCGGGCGAATCCTATTTGCAAAAGGAAGATTGTCGCGCACCTCCGGACGCATGAGTCGGTTACGCCTATGTCTACAGTTACGGTAACGGCTGCAGCGGCTCCGTCTTCGGAGGCTAAGGAGCGCCACTACGATGCGTTTTTGACGCAGAGGAGACGCGGAAAAAGACGAAGAGAGCCTCTGTGCTATATGCCGTGTCTGTTCCTATCGCTAAAGCCGACAGTGTCACGGTGAGTGACGCAATGGCCGTTCAAGCTTCGATTAGTACCCCTGCTCGGCCTTACTGTCCGAAGCTACCAAGACGCAGTCTAAGAAGAGGAAGAGAAAACACAAGATGAAGAACAAGAAAAACGCACAAGTGTAGTACATGTTTCAAATTGAACTGGTGTAGTGTCTTGAGCGAGGCTCTTGAAGGAAACAGAAACAGGGGGCATCAAACTTAAACTAAAACAAATCAATATAATTTTGCAGCCCCAGCAAGAAAAAACTTATCTTTCTTTAAAAAGATACTTACCGGTGATTTGTCTCCAGCGACTGCAATCTGGCGCGAACACATCGCTTTGTCCAGAGCTGCTGCAGAAATACCGAAAATACCGAGGAAAAACAGTCAATTGCCGTTTTTCCACGTTGTCGAACGCCTCCTCCATTGCTACTAAGGCCCACACCCGCGGAATGATTGGTTCTTTATGGGAGTTGGCTCATTTCAAAGCATGTGGAAGGTAGGCTGTATAGCCCACAACGCCAAACTGCCTCCACACGCAGACGCTGCGGCTGGTGAGCAAAACCGCTGTTCCAGATAGGGTCCACAACCTGGGGCAGAAAGATTCCATCAACGTGTTTTGCAAAGTATGTCGGAAACTGCTACTTAGCAGTGAGGAGGAGCGCCTCAGAGCTGAAGGTCGCCGGGTGAATCCTATTTACAAAAGAAAGATTGTCGCGCACCTCCGGACGCATGAGTCGGTTACGCCTATGTCTACAGTTACGGTAACGGCTGCAGCGGCTCCGTCTTCGGAGGCTAAGGAGCGCCGCTACGACGCGTTTTTGGACGCAGAGGAGACGCGGAAAAAGATGAAGAGAGGCTCTGTGCTATTTGCCGTGTCCGTTCCTATCGCTAAAGCCGACAGTGTCACGGTGAGTGACGCAATGGCCGCTCAAGCTTCGATTAGTACCCCTGCTCGGCCTTACTGTCCGAAGCTACCAAGACGCAGTCTAAGAAGAGGAAGAGAAAACACAAGATGAAGAACAAGAAAAACGCACAAGTGTAGTACATGTTTCAAATTGAACTGGTGTAGTGTCTTGAGCGAGGCTCTTGAAGGAAACAGAAACAGGGGGCATCAAACTTAAACTAAAAAAATCAATATAATTTTGCAGCCCCAGCAAGAAAAAACGTATCTTTCTTTAAAAAGATAGTGACCGGTGATTTGTCTCCAGCGACTGCAATCTGGCGCGAACACATCGCTTTGTCCAGAGCTGCTGCAGAAATACCGAAAATACCGAGGAAAAACAGTCAATTGCCGTTTTTCCACGTTGTCGAACGCCTCCTCCATTGCTACTAAGGCCCACACCCGCGGAATGATTGGTTCTTTATGGGAGTTGGCTCATTTCAAAGCATGTGGAAGGTAGGCTGTATAGCCCACAACGCCAAACTGCCTCCACACGCAAACGCTGCGGCTGGTGAGCAAAACCGCTGTTCCAGATAGGGTCCACAACCTGGGGCAGAAAGATTCCATCAACGTGTTTTGCAAAGTATGTCGGAAACTGCTACTTAGCAGTGAGGAGGAGCGCCTCAGAGCTGAAGGTCGCCGGGTGAATCCTATTTACAAAAGAAAGATTGTCGCGCACCTCCGGACGCATGAGTCGGTTACGCCTATGTCTACAGTTATGGTAACGGCTGCAGCGGCTCCGTCTTCGGAGGCTAAGGAGCGCCGCTACGACGCGTTTTTGGACGCAGAGGAGACGCGGAAAAAGATGAAGAGAGGCTCTGTGCTATTTGCCGTGTCCGTTCCTATCGCTAACGCCGACAGTGTCACGGTGAGTGACGCAATGGTCGCTCAAGCTTCGATTGGTACCCCTGCTCGGCCTTACTGTCCGAAGCTACCAAGACGCAGTCTAAGAAGAGGAAGAGAAAACACAAGATGAAGAACAAGAAAAACGCACAAGTGTAGTACATGTTTGAAATTGAACTGGTGTAGTGTCTTGAGCGAGGCTCTTAAAGGAAACAAAAACAGGGGGCATCAAACTTAAACTAAAACAAATCAATATAATTTTGCAGCCCCAGCAAGAAAAAACTTATCTTTCTTTAAAAAGATAGTGACCGGTGATTTGTCTCCAGCGGCTGCAATCTGGCGCGAACACATCGCTTTGTCCAGAGCTGCTGCAGAAATACCGAAAATACCGAGGAAAAACAGTCAATTGCCGTTTTTCCACGTTGTCGAACGCCTCCTCCATTGCTACTAAGGCCCACACCCGCGGAATGATTGGTTCTTTATGGGAGTTGGCTCATTTCAAAGCATGTGGAAGGTAGGCTGTATAGCCCACAACGCCAAACTGCCTCCACACGCAAACGCTGCGGCTGGTGAGCAAAACCGCTGTTCCAGATAGGGTCCACAACTTGGGGCAGAAAGATTCCATCAACGTGTTTTGCAAAGTATGTCGGAAACTGCTACTTAGCAGTGAGGAGGAGCGCCTCAGAGCTGAAGGTCGCCGGGCGAATCCTATTTGCAAAAGGAAGATTGTCGCGCACCTCCGGACGCATGAGTCGGTTACGCCTATGTCTACAGTTACGGTAACGGCTGCAGCGGCTCCGTCTTCGGAGGCTAAGGAGCGCCGCTACGACGCGTTTTTGGACGCAGAGGAGACGCGGAAAAAGACGAAGAGAGCCTCTGTGCTATTTGCCGTGTCCGTTCCTATCGCTAAAGCCGACAGTGTCACGGTGAGTGACGCAATGGCCGTTCAAACTTCGATTAGTACCCCTGCTCAGCCTTACTGTCCGAAGCTACCAAGACGCAGTCTAAGAAGAGGAAGAGAAAACACAAGATGAAGAGCAAGAAAAACGCACAAGTGTAGTACATGTTTGAAATTGAACTGATGTAGTGTCTTGAGCGAGGCTCTTGAAGAAAAACAGAAACAGGGGGCATCAAACTTAAACTAAAAAATCAATATAATTTTGCAGCCCCAGCAAGAAGAAACTTATCTTTCTTTAAAAAGATAGTCAAATGTAATTATTTGCGCTCTTTTGTTTTGTATTGTCAACTAGGAGCTGACAATATTTGCAGTAATAGGGTCGTTCGTTACATGTGGTTTCAATCGTTGACTATAATAAGCTGACGTTATTTCCAGAGAAAGAGCAGTTATTGCTCTGTGCATTGTATTGGCCAGACGATATTTTTGTATTAGAGGAGATAGCGTTCTTTTTAGTACACTATATACTATGATCTGACGTTATTTTCAGTATTGGAGTAGGTAGCGCCCTATTCCAGTCGATAAAACTTAGAAAATTTTAAATCTAGAAAAAGTAGGCCTATTGTACCGAGTTTTCTAAGCCTTCCCGCATAACTCACTCTTTAATTTGTCTTTGATGCGCCCGTTCAAGCGTCTTCGGGTCTCTTTAGACCGTGCAGCACTCGCCATTGACCGGATTAGGGTCGAGCTAGAAGCCGCAGAGCGCATGCTCGCCGTCGCGACGTCACGACATTCAGATGGACACCGTTCGTCATCTCCCGATCCCTTTTTTTCCTCGGAATCTGAGTCCGAATTCGATTAAGAGACGGAAGGGACATCGACTCGGGCCAAGGTCTAAAAAATGTCTGACAACACTTCAAGTTCGATATAGGAATTCGCCAGATCGGCTTGCGATGTTCCCTAGTGTTAAGCAGCTGAAGAATCGGTCACAGAGACTTCCTAGACATGGACATTTTTCAATCACAAAATACGACAACGTGATGGAGTGGGCCTCTCCGAGAATGTGCACAACGCTTGAGCAATTTCAGTAGCACCACGAGTATGATTTGGGCAGGGATGCACTGTGTTTTTGTCAGCAGGCATTCAACATTCAGCACGAGATACTTGTACTATACTGCTTTACATAACCTCTAGAGAATGAAGAGGTTTCTGTCGAGATTATCTTCACGTCCAGGCGATTGGTCAGAACTGCGCCTAGGCAAGTACTAGGCCAACGTTTGATCGACACATCCCCGAAAGAGCTTGGTGTGAAGGAAGGTTACTTATATGATCCATTTTGGCGGATGGACACTAGTTTCGTTCGGTATCATTGGGGTGTGTTACACGGCACTGAACAAGTATCAGCAGAAGTTCTACTCAATGGCGTCCATGTTCACTCGGATGGAAATAGCCTTCGCGTATGCACGGCTTTTTACTGTCTGCAGGGCCAAATGTGATTTGGTTTTTGGTGGAGCTTTGGAGCTTAACTACGGATCAACGGATCCCTCTGCCGCTATCGCAAGCGCCTTTCGCCAACTCTGGCCTGTCATCAAACTTCTGAGCTGCTGGCCACATTGGTATCGCAATGCCAGAGGCAAAAAGTTTTTTTTTGTTTTCAAGTGAGCGCTACCAAGAAATCATTCAGCCGCAACTAGATTACCTCGGCGAAGCGCGCTCGCTTGGTCACTTCGAGGTTTTATCCGAGCTAGCTGTCAAGAAAACGGAGACGCTGGGTGAAGCCGAGTACGCACAGTGGCTTAGAGATGATTACCTGACAGACCCCTGGGATTTGTGGTTCTATACTGCAAGTGACACAGCTGGAGTGCTGCCAAACCAAAATCCGATTGAATCACATAATCGAACAATCAAGGCCACAGCAGTAATTCATCTTCGAGCAGCGACGGGGCACGTTCTGGCTGGAACTTTGCCTAAAATCTTGGTCGAATGTGCTATGGACATCGGCTCTGAGCCTATCAGGCCTTATGCGTCTGGTCCAGTGAGCGCACAAGATTTGCAGATGGCTGCGACTCTATGCAAAGAAGATAACCACTACCCTACTCACAGACGAATTTCCAGACGGGCGGTTAACAGCATCCAAGAATATTTTTTCAGCGCCGAGCACTACATCGAAACCGATGATAACCTCCACGGCCTTAAGCTTAACGGCAATCGAACCAAAACCTACAAAGCCTCGCTCAGAGGTAAGCTCAAGCAAAACGAGAAGGTGGAGAACACCCAGCAGCGCTTTTTGTCGTTTCACGTCGTGGAAATTTTAGAGCGAATTCCGCTCGAGCATGATTGGGACAATCCTTCCTGGAGCACCAACGAGATCAAAATGATTCGCCCTAAGTTCAAGTGCGACTGTAAGCAGTTCTACCAAATCGGCTGGCTCTGCACTCGCGGTTTGGCATGTCTACATCTCGTAGACGCCCTAGACCTACAGGTTATGCTACGAAACCTACCGGCTCGAAAGCCACCTGGACGACCTCGAAAAAAAGACAAGATGCCTAGATCGTGACAGGCCTCGAAAGTCGCAGCATGCTGTGAACTCGCTGATCAAGCGGTTGGTAGATATGCCCGCTAGGGTCATCAACTGGAGCATTCTGATGGCCGAGCGTATAACTAACGACGAAGGAGAAGAAACAGAGCTCAACCACGTTGGGAAAGTTAAGCCACCTTTCATGAGAGGCGGTAAACGATACTGGAACATCAATTTCGAGGAATATGATGAAGCCAGCGCCTTGGGGGTTGAAGAACTGGCAAGAGCGATTAATTACTCGTGCCAGATGGGACACAACATTGAGAAGCGTACTACGTTGCAGACCAGCAGCTGCATGTATTATGCATATTTAGTCGACAAACATCAAACAGAAAAAAACTATATAATCACCCAAAAAATTGAGAAAACCCTTGCATACTTGCATTCCTAGCTGCATACAGTGCTGCTACAAACTATAGACGCACTCAAGTTTCGCTTGTTAGATGAGCAAAACGCAAAGCCAGCAAGCGCCGTTTGGCCCTAAAGCCTTCAATACTAAGCCAAACTGATACCAACAGAGCGTTTCTCGATAGTGTCGGTATTGCAAGCAGGACCGAAAAAATTACGTTAGGGGGTGTTCTAAACTAAAGACGCACTTTTTTAAAAAATGTTTTTTTGCTTCCTGTACGCCCTCTTATTAGCTAAAATTAGGTCCCACGAAAAGCGCGCGAAATTCGACGGCGAAGGGCGCAATTGGGAGACCGACACAACTCAAAACGATGCCTCGGGAAACCAGACTAACCCCCGAAGAGATCGGCAAGGTCAAGGCGCTTCATTGGGGAGGAAGGAGCTACCGCTACATCGCGAGGTCCATCGGGCGCAGTGACCATGCTGTTCGCAACATCATGAGGCCCCCAAAGAAGGCGGCACCCTCAAAGAAAATCGGCAGGCCGGCAAAAGTCACCCAACGGATCGCTAGACGGGTCTTTCGGCTTGCTACAGTCAAACGATTCACGTCCAAACGGATTGCCGAGGCGCTCGACAACGTTCTCAAGCCAAGTACGGTGCGCAGGCTGTTGAGCTCGTCTTGTGCCGCAAAGTGGATCAAGAGGAAACCCTCTCCGGCCATCAAGCCTCACCACAAGGTCGCACGTGTAGCATTTGCTGCAAAATATTTGAGCAAGACGCGCATGTGGGAGCGTGTCATCTTTAGTGATGAAAAAAAGTTTATTTGGATGGCCCTGACGGCTACCAGTACTACTGGCACGACGTCAGGGCTGACACCGAGTTGTACTCCAAGCGGGTGAGTGGGGGAGGGAGTGTGATGGTTTGGGCTGGCATGAGCGCGCACGGCAAAACGGACATCGCGTTTCTGGAGGGGAGACAAGACTCTGTGTGCTACACACGCACACTTGACAACTACTCGGTTCCGTTTATCGAAAACCTGCGTCAAAACCATGGTATCCGTAAGCCTGTTTTTCAACACGATAACGCTTCAATCCATGAATCGAGGTTTACTGAAGCCCATATTGAAGCTTTGGGTATCAAGAAACTCAAGTGGCCTGCCAAGAGCCCCGATTTGAACCCTATTGAGAACGTGTGGGGGCAATTGGCGTGGTCTGTGTATCGAGGCGGGCGCCAGTTCGACTCCAAGGCGGAATTGAAGGCTCAAATCGTCCGATGCTGGCAGGAAATTCAACAAAGCTACCTACGTGACTTGGTGGACAATATGCCAACACGTATGGCCCAGGTTGTGCTGAAAAACGGTGGAATCATCGACAAGTGGCGGGTTTAAAAAAGTGCGTCTATCGTTTAGAACACCCCCCTAACGTAATTTTTTCGGTCCTGCTTGCAATACCGACACTATCGAGAAACGCTCTGTTGGTATCAGTTTGGCTTAGTATTGAAGGCTTTAGGGCCAAACGGCGCTCGCTGGCTTTGCGTTTTGCTCATCTAACAAGCGAAACTTGAGTGCGTCTATAGTTTGTAGCAGCACTGTACACTTAAGCCCCTCAACATTTAATTAATCCTCTGACTTATAAAAACCAAAATATCATAAACAGAAGCCGAGACATAGAAAATAGCCAAAAATATCATTAAAAAATCCGCCCCCAAACTCGATTCATTTATGATTTCCTACATGTAGCAGATACTGTAGTACGTGCAAGCAATGTTAGACAAACTAGAGGCTCTACCACTCGTCCACCACATTGAAGCAGCCCTCCTCGAACCACCCACACTTACAAGTGGCGAGCACGGACACTAGCGAGAGGCTCCTTCTCTGGAATTTGCACCTTATGGTCCACCGCAGCATCAATACGAGCCTTGATTTCAGGCGTGATCTTCTCCACGAATCGGATCGCGTCCAGGTTCTCGTCCAACTGCTTCCTCGTACGAGCTCCCAGCATGACGGTTGACGCGTTCGGGTTGGACACACACCAAGCGACAGCCATCTGCGCGAGGGAGCAGCCCAGCTCGTCCGCGATCTTCTGTAGCTCGAAGGTCTTAACAACGCGGTCACGGAAGTCTGGCACCGCGTTATTGTAAAACTCGGTCGAGAAGCGAGGTGTACTTGTTGGAAAGCACACCGTAAGCAAGTGGCGAGTACGTGGTCAGACCCAACTTGTACTTCTTATACAGATCCAGGAAACCGTATTCCACACGAGGACGGTCGAAGATGTTGTACTTGGGCTGCTCCACCACGGGACGGATCAACCCTAAGCGGTCAGCGATCTCGCATGCCTCGGCGATGTCGGCGGGCACTGGTGCCCCAGTAGAACGCCCAACCTTGGTAAATGACGTAGTTCATGGCCCGAACGGTTTCTTCGATAGGGGTGAAGTCATCGGCGCGGTGACAGAAGACAACGTCGACATAGTCGAGCTGAAGACGCTTGAGTGAAGCCTTGAGGCCTTCCACAATGTGCTTGCGACTCAGTCCCTGGTCATTGGGACCTGTCTTCGTGCCGACGTGGATCTTGGTGGAGATGACGAGGTCTTCGCGGGACCAAACTTTCTCCTCGATGCCCTTTTGGATCGCGCGACCGACAATTTCTTCAGACTTGCCACCGATGTAGCACTCGGCGTTGTCGTAGTAGTTCACGCCCTCCTTGAAAGCTTGGGTCATGATATCGTACCAGCCTTCGTCGGAGCAGCGATCGTCCCAGATCATCCACGCTCCGAGGGAGATTTTGGAGACCAGGAGACCTGAGTTACCGAGGAAACGGTAGGTCATCTAGGATGGGGCAGGGGAGATCATTGTTGATGTTGCAGTCGACGTAGACGGAAAAATGAAAAGTGAGTCTTGCTCGAGTGTGCATACAATGCAACTAAAGGCATCGACATGCTATAGTGTGCATGTCGATGCTTTAAATCAGAGCTGACGTGCCATCGGATTATGCATTACCTTGGATTATGATGACCACTTCAGCCTGAGGTGACAAGATTATGATGCCAAGCACACTGCATTATCGCTGGTCGATCATTCGTGGAAAAATGTGGCTCGAATTTAAATGAAAACACAGCAAGCAAATTTACTCTCTGTACGTTCCGCTATTTTTCCTGTTACCCAGAGTTCAATTGCTGTTGGACCAAACTGGATTGCACTTTTGGAAATCCCAAGTAGTTCGGACTCTCCTCTGGGAATCCTCTCCACTTTCAGCACTTATTACCAGTACGTGTTTCAGCGTTTGGTTCGTGCCCCGCGACTGTAGTTCCCTTGCTCAAAACGACATGTCTTTATGTGCTTTGATATCTTCTTTGCTGTACACCAAGCTCTCCCGTAGGCCTGCGATTGCGGTAATAACCTTAAACTTGGCTCGGATACGCAGCAGTTCCTGCATCATGTCCTCGTCCACTACATTCTGCAGCAGTAATTGAGCTACAATCGCCCTCCAATTTTCTTTTTCATATCCGATATTATCGGACACGCACCTTCAGCTCAAAAGCATCGAGCAGCACGCCAAACGACGCCACCGATTTGGCAGCTCTAGTCCTGGCCAACCGTTTGATACAGTGTCAGTTATGACGCTTCACTGGCAATTGTGCCATTGACGAGATCACTTACGGTAGTTTGCTCTTCAACTTCTCGCTTTGCAGCATGTGGCTCCACACCAAGTGACAGCCCTGGTAAAAGCCCAACTCGCTCCCGATCTCCGCACCCTTCATGATGCTACGCACGAGGATCACGATTAGCGCGTCCACGCACCCTCGGTAGCCCTAGGAGACGCACCCGAGCTCGCGGCCTTCCTCGATTCCTAGCTCGCGTCCGCGTTCCATGCCCATGGCCTCGCCCTGCGCCACGAGCGTCTCCTCGTAGCCGGAGATAGCGTCGAACGCGTCCGCAATGTCCATCGCAACTCTGCTTCGCGTTGATGTGCACAATCACCAAGTTTGTATCGAGATTTGGCTGGCTGGTGGAGCGATCTTATAAGGTCGCAATGAATAATTGCATGTTTGGGTTGAAAGAATTTGCTGTGCACTGTTGCCACTTTGGCAATTGCTGCAGTGTGAATGGGCAGCAACACCATATCCGATGCACCAGTATTTGCACGCCAACCCTTTATACCTGTAGTATGGCCATGGTTATTTTTGAGTGCCTTTTCTCAACCGTTTCAACGGAGCCGACGCCGCCACGTGAACACTCGAGCACGCAAATGCATGAGGTTGCCAGGAAAAGAATGCAAGCTGCCAATATATTATTACGTGAATTAGAGTACAGGCATCAAGCGCGCAGCAAGCGAATCAAATTTGTGGTGGGAGAAGTAGCGTCGATTTACTGCGCTTGCTGTTGCTGCGCCTGCTGAGCTTCCACAGCGGCAGCGGTAAGTGGCTGCACAGTCTTGACAAAGCGGCCTTTCACGCGTGGACGCGCATTCGCCAGTGTCTTACGCACGCCGTAGCGCACTTTGTGCTGGGACAATCTGCGCGCACGTTTTGCCATATACTTCTGCAACAGCACACGACGCGCCGCGGGTGTGTAGGCGCCGATCATCTTGACAGGCCTAGCGATATAGTCCAGCCGAAGCGACGTCATGTCACGCGGTGGGTTGTGTACGCTCGTGGGGCTCTCCTCGTCCACGCGCTTGGCCTTCTTGGGTGACGCGGCCTCAAACTCCGAGTCCTCCGAGCTGGGCGTCGTATAGCCATCCGACACCGTGTCCGTGGTGGGCCCCCCGTGCAGACTTTGCGGTTCGGCCTTTTGCCACTCCATGACGACGCTCAAGAACAGCTCTTGTGAGCTCAGACGAGCGCGAAACAGCGGACTCGGCGCCTCAATCGTAGGTACCTGCCGGTGCATCGTGTTGTCCACGCCGCCAAGTAACCAGCTGTGGTCCTCGACGCTCGGGCAGCGCAGAACGGGAAGCGTCGGTGGCGGCGTTGCCTCCATCTCGCGGCTACGTTTTCTCGACAGCAGCATGTTCATGTTTTGCCGATGATAGTGGGCGCTTGGGCGTTTCTCTGGAAATGCGAATGTGCCGTTGGCGACGTTTCCGGCTGCCTGGAGACGTTCAGCGGCTTCTTTGTTCGAAAGCCCAAACCTCTTTATTATGATACCTTCCGCAGTCAGATGTCTGTTCTGGTAATGTTCTCAATTCTTCCAACAAGTATTGCTCGTCTTACAGTAGATCCGAAACGCATGCGTGCCCCTCACCGTCTTATCCGAGAATTTTGCAAGATACTTGCCTTCGTGTTGAATTCAATTAATCTGGACGTGGCGCCACACTGTAGCAATCAAAACGATGAATCGAATTCAACCTGCGATATCTAATATAGTCTCAGTCTTGATAAATTCGAGCAGCCTTACAAGATGGGTTGAGATTTGTTACTCTTGGGAGATCGCGACGTTTGATGATCCAATCCGCGCTCGCCTGGCTCTGGCTTGATTTCGGCCACACGTCTGTTTCTGCTTGGTGTAACGCATGCTGTCTTCTATCCATCGTGACATGGTATCTCCGAGGATGTAACAGCGTTCAGAGGGTCACCGCTTAAGGCCACGATAACCACATACAGAAAACTGGGTCTAGTCACTCGTTCTTTCCCATCAGCGTTCCCGACATCTTGCATGCGATCCAAGCTGCTGCTGATCGCATTTCTTACTACATTTACATCATACATGTATTCGCACGTGAGCACTGCCACACGCCGAAGCTGTCTGTGCTTGCCTACACGACGCGCAGATTCTGTAGCATCATGCGCGACGTGCACGTTATAGACGTGCTCTCGGCATAAAACTGCAAAGCTTGCCGCGCGCACGTCGAGAGCAAATAAGCTCTCTTTGCGTCGTATTCGTGCTATTTTTACCTGTTCAAGTAAGTACTGTAGATCCTTGAAGGTATTTCATAATTTCTGACGAAATAATTTGATGAAGCGCCAAGAAGAAACGTGTCCATGATACTGTACCTATGGGAGACTGCTAATCCACCGACTACGTGACGGCATGACGCTGTCATTGCGAAAAGTAAACATGCACGGGGCGATCTAGCGCTGGGCATTAAGATTCTTCGCCGCAGCCAGCGCCAAACTGAGCGATTGCTGTCCAAAGCCTGCAGAATTACACAAAGCAATTAGCTCCCATGGCCAGCATAAGTCGACACACCGTTTGCAACCTTACCTGACATCACACCAACGACTATAGATGGCAGGGTGCCGTGATTTACTCCGATGGGACTCACAACGATGACAGAGTTGTTGATCAGCTCCAAAGCACGGAGAATGGTTGGCGAGTCGGACAGACGTCCTGTCAAAACAAAGAGACGCACGTTTCAGAAGGCCCAGAGCCCATTCTTGTTATGAATGTCCCTACGCACCAAGCCAGCAGAGAACAATGACCTCGCTCTCTTTGGAATTGAGCAACCAGTCGAGGATTTCCCCCTCGTGGTTGGACTCGTGTGTGACGAGCGAGATCTCTTCATCCACCGCCATGTCCCGCACCTCTCGTAGCAAATCGGCCTTGCTAACATTTCCTCTGTTCTCATCAAAATTCATACACAGCTTCAGCCAAGGGCAACATCCCGTCACTAGTTTGCAATAGCGTCTCACCCTGTCCATGAGTTCCGCGTGAAGCTGCAAGGTCCGTGAATCAGCAGGACCTCCGTAATGTCGTCGGAAGATTGGTGCAAGAAATCTGTTGCTGCACCAGAGCCGAGTGTGGCATCACTAGCCCTGAGTAAGCTGTTCTCCCCAGGTTTTTCGGCGCTAGTAGCGATAGGACTGGATGGTGTATCATTAACACCAGCAGCACCAGCAATCGGGCTACCGGGTGAGCTTTCGGTATTGGAACTGAGAGTAGGACTTGTCGGTGGCTCCGATTTGGATGCGGTTGCCGATGGATTCCATGGTTTTCGCGCGTACCGTTTGTGTTCGTAGCTGGAGAAGTAGTGACGTAACTGCGGCGGCAAGCTGCCGCAACTGCGCATGTGCTGGCACCAACGTCCCTTGCTTCTGGAGGCAAACACTTTGTTGCAGTGGCGGCATCGCGTCGTGCGCGCCGTGCCCTTGCCGTCGTGGACTACGTGCTCGTCGATTGAACTCATTTGTTTTTGCAAAAAATGTTCCCATTACAAAACGCATGTCACATGTACACTTTACGTTTGCCACATCACCTTATACATCATTTGTTACCAATTTGTCAACTTCGACCAAAATCTTCTCATCTTTGCCGTCCAGGATCTAAAGTACAAGCTACAGATCAGTTCATGAGAAATCACTTCTTCTCTGGAAACTCACTCACCTATCGTCATTTTTGCAAGTGAACTGCGGGTCTGATACCTTTCGCATGGCGTCCGTAATGGCAATGAAGTACCTATGGTGCTCGACAGTGTTCGTGGCCAGTATCGTCGATTTGTCGGTAGCAGCTACGGCGAACTGATCCGCAGCCTCGACAAATGTCATGGCATTTAACTCGTCGTAGCTCAATCCTGTCATCTCCATGAACTTGCGGATGCGAAAGTCTCGAGGCAACTTACCCACCGTTAGACCCTCAGGAGACTTCACAGTATCGCTGTCCACGACGTCTGCATTGAGTTCCGGGTCTGCCGTCATGCTACGACGGTTCCAGTTGGCCGAACCAATGGACAAATACACGTCGTCGATGATCACCAGCTTCGTGTGGATCAGAAGTTTCAGCTCGGGCTTGGTCGTGTAAATTTTAAACTTGTCCGGGTACTTTGATCGGATAGGCTCGACCATTTGATACAAATACTTGATGTAGCCGGCGTTCGTGAACGCGTTCGTTTGCTCTTTGGTAACGACGATAAGACGCTGGATGCGCGGCATCACCTCCATCACCGCATCAAGTAGTTCTGGCACGAAGACAAAGTACTGGTCTTCGACATAAATAAAGTTCTTCGCATTCTTAATAGCCTTGATACGCGCTTGGAACAGCGAGTTCTCGCCTTTGGGGGCGAACTCCTTGTAGTGTTTGTACTGACAGCTGAAGGTTCGCGTGATCTGGACATTTTGGTTGCCAAGCTTGGAAGCCTTTTTGCTGCTGCTGTACTTGAATGGTGGGATCTTGCCGTACCTTGGGTTCTTAAAGTCAAGAAGGTCGTCATCTAGGCTTTGGCACGGCAGATAATCCGAGTTCCATCGAGCTACAAAATTGCTCGCGACGTCTTTCGCAGCTGGTCCGTGGATTCGAAGGTGACCGTCGACCCAGCCCTTGTTGCTCTTGTAAGTAATCTTCCCAGCATCTCGGATAGCGGTATTGTTGTGGTACATGGTGTCCCACCGGTCGATGGCGAGGTCGATCCCGCCCACGTACGCAACGGGTTGGTATTTCTTATCAGAGGAGCTGTCCGCTGTGATCACCAGTGTTTTCTGGTGGTGAGAGGAAATGAGATCGATGCGGTCATCAAAAATGTAGAGCGCCTCTGCTCCGTTGAGTGGAGATGGTGGAATGCTGTTGACAGCATCGCGAGCCTTGATGTTGTATGGCATGTAAGATCCTGCAATACTCGCCCAGCCGAGAATGTTCACGTTCCCTCCTCGCTCCACGACGTCAGCAAATACTTGTTTGAAACCAGTTTTCGCTCCGGTGGGATCAACGTCGGGCTTGAGTGGAATGAGCGCAGCCAGCCATGCAGCAAGCATAACTCGATCGCCTTTCTTCGTTTTACTGAGGTCGCTATAGACAGCGTTGAAGAATTCGTTGGCCGCCGTGTAGGACGTCACCTTGTTGCCGGTTGTGTACACTGCCATGTCACTCCTGGGTACGCCGCCCCGCGAGTCCGTGATCTCCTGTTTGGTGAGAAACCAGTCTTTGGGATCGAGAAGAGGTTGTTGGAGTTTTATGTCCGTCTCATTACGGGAATCAGCGTCGTGGTCTCCATCTGGACGTGATGTATCAGAATCGTCAAACAATGTAGAAAAGGAAAACGCTGATGAATGATCCACCGCCAATATCAACGCTATAATCAACACTATGATGGCCATATTTCTATCGGAGCGGTGAATTGACGAAATAACAGTCTCACAGACTGAAGTACAGCCTGCACGTACTGTACGTACTTTGGAGAGCCAGAGAACATGAATTGTTCGCAATCAAGTTCATCCTGCACAGTACATGTACAGTTGTCAGAACACATGTTAATGCTTTGATTGCCAATTTTGTAAAAGAACTGGTAGCGTTATTTACATGTTTACTTAACCCTTCTAATACGAAGGCTGTTCCGGATTATCCGTGATTATAACATATGAAGTAAACTATACCGGAAAATCAGTACTCTATATCATGTATGCAGCCCTTTTGTCTGACACGTGGATTGCCTAGAGAATGTGATTAGCTAATCGTTAGAGATGGGCAGTACGAAAATCGTCCTAATTACTGTCAATTGCGATCTCCCTGCAAAACCGTTGGGCATTACCCAAACGACAACACAACAAAATGTGAACATCATTCCCAAGTGCCATTCATTAGTCTTTCACTCTCGCTACAGATGTGGTGTAGGGATTTCCAGATTCGACCATACGCCGACCTACTTTAGGTCAAGAATCGGCTCGGTCTGATAACCCAGAGCTTAGGAGCCAAGGATCACGGTAAGTACTCGGCGATCCGTCCGGATATGCTATCCGGACAGCCGCTGAGCTCAACGGTCGCCGGAACTTAGCTGAAGGGTCGGTAGAGATCCGAAACGACTACATTTCATTAGATATTTGTATGAGAAGCATAGGATTAAATAGGGGGAGCCGAAAGGGCTCCCAGAAGATAACAGAGCAGAATTTTCCTAGTCCAAGACACGTGTACACTTTTCCGGTAAGTCCCTGCATAGGGCTGGATTATGCCTGCCGTCAATACTCGAGAGGCATAGCTTGTAGGGTATTGACTGGTAGCGCCAAGAGATTAGGTCGGTCCGGGTAGGACAAAGTCTCGCTACGCGCGAAAGAAAGTCCCGCATACTCAGCGGGCCGGTACGTCGGATAGCCCGGGTGCCGTAACACTTCTAGCTGAGCTGCCTCTGCGCTCGGTGACCTGTAAAAGCGCTCGCGCGCCGTCGTTCATCCTTTGGTGGAGGGCACAGGGTTGTGAACGAGCTCAGCCGAACCAAACTCGGCGGAGCCTCGGAAGTGATCTGACTTGGTTAGTCGGAACCGGGTGGAAGCGAGCCACTCGTCTGTCCCGGAAGGGCCGGGACCGCGAGGGGACCACCCTCTGCGCAGGCCATACAAACCGCCGACCTAACTCGGCGAGTCGTTGTGGTTTGTGTAAGGAATCCACATCTGACGATATTTGTGTGTTCTACTACACCACAACTGGTGCCGCGACCCGGGAACAGGAGTGTGTGCTTGTTTTTATAGGTGCCAGCTAACCAAGTTAAGAGGAAGAGAAGAGAAAGAGAAGAGTGAAGATGGTCAAGGGATCAGCAACTCCGAGCGACGGAAGCCCAGCGACGGCTGGAGGATCGCCTCTCGCGGGGTCGGACCCGGCGGATCAACGACTCATCGCCATGACGATGGAGGTGGGACGAACCGTCCAGTTCGACGAGGACGGCCAAGACCAGGAGAGCGAGAGCGGAGATGCAAGTACAAACCAGTATGAAGTCGAAGCAATTCTCGACGATGAGCTACCATTATCCACAAGTACGTCACGATCACAACGGAAGTTTAAAGGTAAGTGGGTCGGCTACGATGAGCCTACTTGGGAACCACTGTCGAATTTGTCATGTGGGGGTCTCCTGTTTGACTATCTACGACAGAAGAAGCGCGAAAACCGTCTGCAAATGGTGCAAGTTGCAGATGAGGATTAACAGCTATTGCACCAAAAGTTACACCAACTCAGCGGACGACACAGGCCGAGTTGAGACGGAATGCTACTGTGTCGAAACTACATATACTGAATAATTACGAAATGAAGTCCTGAACGATACCTACGGGACGCCCAGTCAAAGGAAGAAAACTAAAAAGTCGGCGATCCGGATTCCTAGTGAGTTGAACCCGACGGAGACAACTGGGAAGAGCTCAGCGGACTCGACGATTGGGGGCGTGGCGTCGTAGCAGACGTCATCCCTTGGGAACTTGCGGAAGAAGATGCAACATTCGCAGCCGTGGCAAGAAGTATCATCGCCGAGCTAGCCAACGAAGCTGACGCCGAACCAGGTGCCTCAGGACCCGACGCGGCGGAAGTGGGCTGAGAATTCGTTCCACTGGGGAGTGGGGTGCCGAACGGAGACATACTCGGAGACGCGCCTCGGAGATTGGGAGAACCCAACTCATCGTCCGCCGAGTCGTCATCAGACGCACTCTCGCCATCTGAGCCGAGCTCACCGATCGAAGACCCAGTGAAGATATGGATGCCTTGACGATTCAGCCGAGTTGGAGCACTCGGGGCATAGGCAGGAGGCGCTTGTTCAGCATGATCGAAATCTTCTTCAATCGCGTCGTCAACAACCTGAGGATCCATACCGCGCGGCGCGAAAACCAAGAAGTCCACGTTCCGAGCGCGGAAGCAAGTATTGTACGGATGGACCGCCGGGTCAGTAAGCCACCAAGCTCGCCAGGGCTCGGCTAGATCCGCATCGTGAGCACACTGGACCCAGTCTCTCCCGGAAGGAACCCACGAAAGGTTAACGGGAGAGTAATGGGGAACGGACGGATCAAAATAAACCTCTGCGTCCACCAGTGGAGCAGGTTCATCGCCGAGCTTCTGAGTGACCGCCGAGTAAAGCTGGTCGTAGACAGCAACAACCAAAGATCGCAAGGTGTCACTACGACGTTTGCGCTCGCGCTTGTACACCAGCCACAGTTCGTATACCTCAGCAAGCTGGGCGGGCGTGGCAGCCGGGTTGACGTCAGGATGGAGACCCATTAACACACTCGACTCGACAATCCAATGACGACGCTCATAGAGAGCTACGAAGTAACGAGTCATTTGGCCATCTGTCTGGATGGGCCTCCCCGCCGAGTCCAAGGGACTGTCGCCACGAAGCTTCACCCACATATCTCCAAGAACTTGCATCAAAGTTCGAGGCCGGGTTTGAGAAGCCAAACATCGCCGAGCTTCCTCCAGAATCGACGGAGAAAAGAAGAAAGGAAGCTCAGGGAGCATCCGCCGAAGACGCTGACAAGGATGGCTCGGGTCGAAAACGGCCATGAAAGCTCGAATGCCGTCAAGAGAGCACGGCGTAGGTGGAACACGACTCTTGCCCCCTACGAGCTCCATCTGCACCCCTCCGCTCAGTGTATCCAATAATGCATTCCAACAACGAGCTGAGCCGAAATGCATGAATGGTACCTCGCGGAGTTGAGCCATGTGAAGAGTCAGGCGACAATCCTTGGACACCGCTTGCGAGGCCCGAGTCCGTAACGTCGCCAGCGGGAGTGTAAGAGCGCTGGGAAGTGCGACCACAGCCGGACGTGAAGCAGTCGAACTCGGCTGAGAGAGAATCGATATAACCGGGAGCCTACTCGGCGAAGGAGCAGCCGGAATGGACTGAGCCGGAGCTGGATCAGGAGTCGACGGAAGCTGCCGATGCTTGTGGTGTCGGTGCGTCTTGTGATGCTTCTGGTGCTTCTTGTGCTTCTTGGATCGCTTCGACCGATGACCGGTAGGACTCGACGAGGCACGACGTTTGCGATGCTGCTGCTTCCCCGAAGCCGGCGCAGAGGCAGAGCTCGTCCCGTCACCAGAATCCTTCGATGAAGGCCGCGAGGAGTGGCGATCACTCGGCGGCAAGGACTCATCGTTCATCTCGTCGTCAGAACCGAAGATCGCCGCATGAAGACTTCTCGCTTGGGCAGAACGACGAGCATCTGCGGTCGCTGAGTCGGAACCTGAAGGACTGCCAGCCGAGTTCTCTGATAAGGAAATGGGATCCAAGAGCGACCCAGCGGCAGGATTCGTCGAGCCGGTGGACGGTACAGAACCATCACCAGGCCCTAACACCTCGTCGTCAGACGCGTCGAGATCCTCAAGAAGCTGAGCAGTCACAGTGCGGGCGGTCGCAGCAGATCTCCGGATAGGGCGCCCAGATGGGGACGTCAACACGGCCGTGGTCACAAGGAGAGACGGTCTGAGGACACTCACGGCCGGAGTCACTAAGTCAGTCGGCGTGGTGGATACGCTCAGACCCCGAGAGGGCGACTGGGAGCGTCCAACCACCGTTAGCACGACGCTGAGTGGTGCGCTCGACTGGGGCAACCCAGCGGAGATGGGCGAAGTCGAGCCTGGGGCACACACGCTCGTAGCCGGGACAGGCAGTGAAGCCACGACATCGGATGAAGATATCGGCGGTGGGCGAGTAGCCGCGACTGACGAAGTCACCGGAGGACCAGAAGACGAAGAACCCGCCGAAGTCGTCGAAGCAACTGCAGGAACGGTGTCGGCGGGCGGATCAGGCAACTCAAACATAAACTCAGCTTCGCTCGAAGCGTCATCGTCGTCTTCAGAGCGAGCAGAGACAGCGGGCTGAGTAGCAGAACTCAGCTGAAGGTGACGAACCTTCTTCCGCCGAGTCCGACGACGGGACTTTCCAGAGCGAGGCCTTCCTCCATCGGATACAGTAGCTTGAGGTGAACTTGAGTGCAAAAGGGTACTGATAGCCTCGTGTCCATCCTCTCCGGGGAGTGGACAAGCGTACGGTTGAGGCGGATGCGGCGCCGGTGCACGACGACGAGGACCTGCAGCAGTGGGAGACTTGGGGTTGGCATAACGCCGAAGTCGCTGAGTCGAGGTCAAGTTTGCCAAAGGCGTACGGTGAAGCTGAGCAAGAGTCGGCTCAGCCTGGGTTGTTACCGCCGCTGAGCTGACTGGAGCCGCAGCCGAGTCTGCCAATGAAGTCGCCGAAGACGCTTGACTAGCTGAGGGAACCACACTAGGACCAATAATGGAACTCGCCACTGGAGCATCTCGGCGAGGATAGACAATCAACTCCAACCGCCGAGTTTCACCAGCGGGGATGTTGAGAACCTCAGGAAAGCGAGACTCCAAGACACGACAC